TCCATGAACATGGGATATCTTTCCATTTTTTTGAGACTTCCTCAATTTCTTTCATCAGTATTTTATAGCTTTCATCATAGACATTTTTCACCACTTTGGTTATATTTATTCGTAGGCATTTTATTTTTTGTAGCTATTGTAGATGGAATTACTTTATTGATTTCTTTTTTCAGTTTTTCACAATTAACATATAGAAATGTTACTAATTTTTGTATGTTGATTTTGTATCCTGCCACTTTACTGATTTTTTTTTATCAGTTCTAACAGTTTTTTTTATGAAGTCTTTAGGTTTTTCTAAAAATAAGATTATGTCATCTACAAACAGAAATAATCTGACTTCCTCCTTTCCGATCTGGATACTCTTATATCTTTCTCTTGCCTAATTGCTCTGGCCAGGACTTCCAGTACTGTGCTGAATAGAAGTGGTGACAGGGGGCATGCTTTCAACTTTTCCCATTCAGTATGATATTAGATGAATGCACATACAACTTTTATTTAAAAACAAGCTTAAAGAAAAGGTTTTGTGGTAAGCCATGATAAGGAAGCACTCACATGGCACCAGGAAATTTTCCACAGATGGGCGGAGGGAGAACATTCCCAGCCCGAAAGGCAAGAGAGAGGAAGAAGGAAGAGATCCAAGTACCCTGGGCTTCCTGGTGGAGAGTGGAGATTTTAGAAACTACTAGGTAAGTTTGCGGGTTGCCAGCTCCGCGGACTAGGCCCGCCTTCCCATCTACACAGGAGAGAGAACAGCAGCTGAGCAGAAGAGGCTGTGGCCTGGCGTGTGGAACTGTGGCCACTGGCAGCTTCTCGGCCCCGCCTCCCCTGCTAGGTCCCCGTGGGCACCCTTGAGGGCAGGGCTGTGTTTTCCTCAGCCCTGGTGAGCCCGGGGGCTCCGCCCTGCACTGGCCGGTTGACTTGGCCAGCCCCGTGTTATGCAGGGACTGTGTCCCACTTCCTTCACCAGACGGCAAGTCAACTCTGATTGTTTTCCTACTTGAAGACCACAGACGGGAGCGAAGGCCAAGACTCATTTGTATTCTGAGAAGAAGATGACATTCTGGTCCCTCCGCCCCCGTGTGGGAACAAACAACCCCTCAATATGGGGAGAGGCCAGAACTGTGCTCCTAGGCCCCATCTGTCCTTCGGACTCGGGGCTAATTTCTTCCAAATTACTGGCAAATTCCCCAATTCCAACGACAGCTGCGAACACTTTGTTTTCCTTCTTTGAGCCCCACAGCCAGACACACAGGGTTCAGTTTGCGAATCCCTAAATCTGCCTTGCCCCTGTGTGCCCAGGTAGTGACAGTACTCCTAGGTGACCAGGGGACAGCTAAAGGGGCTCCACATGTTCTTGGCCCTGAGCTGGGCATTTAATTGCCCGATTGGCCTCTTCACAGAGTGGAGTCCACAGTGGGGCAGCTTCAGTGTCATCCCAGAGCTTGTTGGAAATGCCAGTTGCTGGCCACGTCTCTGGATCCATTGACTCAGAATCTGCAGGCACCAGAGAGGGTACCGTTCTGGGCACTCTGTATTATGGGATTCACGGGGGACTCGTGCAGGATTCAATCACACGTGCGTGGGGCATCACCTGCGTGAGAACAGAGAGGCTCAGCAACGGGTCCACTGGCCCAGCCAGTGAGCACAGGTGCTGCCTCCACCCAGGGCCGGGGCTTGGGGGGGGGCACTAGCCCCAGGCTGGACTCTGTCTCTAGTGACATGCAAGGGCCACACCGTCTGCCCGTGCCTCAGTTTCCTCACCTGTCAAGTGACCCAGGAGAGGGCTCCTGCATTTCAACATTCCCAAGCCCCGACTCTGCTTTGGAACAGGCTGGGTCAGCGCCTACTCGGGGAGTCATGCCTGGGGGCTCCCAGCCCTTGTGGAAGACAGGTAGGGGGCTGGCAAGGACAGCAGGAAATGTGTATTCTTAGGCAGCCAGGCATCTGTCTGAAGCCCATTCCATTCCCATCGGCTGTGTGACTCTGGGCAGTTACCTACCCTCTCTGTGCCCAGGTTTCAACGGAACAGTCACAGGGTGGGGGGTGTAAGGATGAGATAAATCACTGTCTGTCAGGTGCTTACAACGGAGCCTGGTACAGACCATGCACTTGAGGTGTCTGTTAAGCACATATTAGAGAAAAAGAAGTTCAAGGCCAAGTTCAGCTTGAGGGAGGAAGGAGGAGGGGGCACCTAGAGCTGGAAGGGAGGGCGGGGCTCAGGGAAGGCTTCCTGGAGGAGGAGACCGTAGGCTGAGACCACTAGGAAAGAGGGGACAGGGTGACATGTGGCGGAAGCTGGGGCCCAGCCAGCCTGGAATAGGCTCCCATGGCAGGTGGGGAGAGACGGGCAAAGCAGGACGGCTGGACCCAGGCCTGCTGTGGACAAGATGCTGGGTCCTCAAGTCTGAAACGATGCCCGCACCTGAAGTGAGGTGCTTCCCACAAGCAATTTATCAGCTTTGCCTTCAGAAAGAGCAAGATGAAGAGCGCTGGCAAGGAGCAGGGGCCGGGGTTTTGGCCACCGAGGGCTGCATCCTGGGGCCTGGCTGGAGCTGCCCATGTTGAGGTGTTCCCAGGTGCAGGGGTGGGCCGGCTCCAGCTGGGCGGGGTGGTAGATGTGGTCTGGGGGCTGCTGGCACGAGAAGCCACAGGCAGGAGCCCGTGTGTCCGTGGCTCTGAGCAGGACGGGCGGCGGAGGGGGCCGGCACTCTTCAAGGGTGCCGCGGGTGACAAGCTTTCAGGGGTGCAGCAGCAACAGTCACACCTCTGTGCGCAGGCACCCTGAGTGCCAGCCTCAGCCACTTCTCCTGGACACGCATGGCAGGTGTGGTTTCCATTGCACAGACAAAACTGAGACCCAGGGACCTTGGGCACTTGTCCCTGGTCACAGGGCTCTAATGGCAGAGCCGGGGCTTGAGTCGGGTCCTTCTGGAACTGGCTCTGCCAGGGCTGCATGCCCGGACCATCACTCCACCCTTCCAGCTGCTCAGGCTAAACAGCCTGGGCGCAGTTGTCGCTCTCTCCCCCACAGGCTGCGCACAGCCCATCCACAAGTCCCAAAGGCTCTGCCTCCTGCAGGAGCTAGAACCTTGCCACCACCTCTGCAGCCCTGAGCCACAGCCAGCGGGTGGGTCCTGCAGGCACCTCCCTCTCTGCCCTCGCCACGCTCGGCTGGGCCCCTGCCCAACGCTCTGCTGGGAGCACTGACCACTGTCCAGCGTTCGGTATGTCTACTCATTGGCTGTCTTTTATTTCCCACACCCACCTGTCCCCGCTGGAATGCAGGCTCCACAAGAGCAGGGCTCGACCTTCCGCCCTGCACACCCACACCCTGGAACGGCGCCTGAGGGGCAGATGCTCAGTGGACACGAGCTGAGTGTTGCTGAGGGACATGTAATGGACACACGACCTGATTTGAATTCCAAGGAGCCCACATTGGGAAATGACCAGACAGAGGGGTGCTTTGATGGCAGGAACATGCAGGGATGCTGCCCCAGCTTACAGGTGGGGAAACTGAGGCTCCTCAAGTTTGCATCCCTTGCCCAGGCCCTGGAGTAGCGGCCAGGAACCCTGAGGCCAACACGCGTGTTCCTTTCCCTCCTGGATGTCCCCACTGGGTCTAGGAAAGGGAAAAGACACAGTAGGGTTTGGGGGAAGGTTTTGGCCTAGAAAACCTGGCGCAAGATGCAGGCTGGGTCCTGAGGTCAGTGCAGGGAGCACAGGGCTGCTGAGACCCCGCGTGCAGAGCCCGGGGGCTCGAGACAGAGAAGGCCCCTGCTCCCCAGCTCCAAGGCAGGGTGCGACGGCCCCTGTGGCTCAGACAAGGTGGAGGTGAAGGCATGAGGGGCGACACAGGGGCCCCTGGTGGGAGGTCAGAGGTGGCCCAGTTGGAGGCCAGCAGGGTGGGGGAGGGCCCTGGGGTGGCTGGATGAGAGGGGAGGCTGGGTGAGGTCAGGAGACTGGACTGACGGCCAGTCCGTGGAGCTGCCCCTGCACGCAGGGCGATGAGCGCAGAGAGGGCAGCAGCAGTGCCGTGTCCCAGCCTCTCTTGGCTGGAGCTGCGGCCCCACCCACGTGCAGACCCGAGACCCAGCAGGTAGGGCTCCGTGTGTTCGCCAGCCGGAGATCTGTGCGAGATGGTCAGAACAGCTCTGCTCACAGCCGCCCCAAACCGGGCGCAGCCGGGGCGCCGTCCCCAGGAGAAGGGTAAACGCACCGCCTGCGTGCACAGCAGGGGAGCGGCTGCACCTACGCCCGCCCGCACCAGCGCTCGGAAAGAGCCCACGTGCTGTGCGTGTCCACACACAAAGGTGGACACCGGCAGAGTTAATCTCCGCCCCAGGTGGTCCGGCCGGGGTGGAACAGGCAGGAAGTGGCAGAGGGGCCCGGGCGAGGTGAGAGAGCTGAACGGTCTGTGTGCGCCTCCACCTCCAGGGAAGGAGAGCAAGCGAGCTGGAGACAGGGCCGCCGGGGCTGTCCAGGGCCCAACGCTGGGCTTTTCTCCGCCCCCTGCGGGCCTGTCCTGCCACAAGTGCTGCCCAGAGTTCTCAGGCCCAGTTTCTGCTTGGGCGGGAGCAGAGGTTGGAGAGAAAACATGGAGGTCGGGGTGGGGTGTCCAGCCACCTGTCCCCCCATCCTGGCGAGTTCCTATGGGCCAAGGGGTCAGAACAGAGGCAGCTGGCCTGAGGGTCTGCAGTGCCGGCCCAGGGGCTGAGGCCTGGGAGAGAGGACCCAGTGGTGAGAGCCCATGGGTGTGGCTGGGGGCAGTGGCATAGCTGGGCCATGGGGCCAGTTGGACCTCCCAACTCGGGGCTGTGCCACCCCCCACAACCCCTTTAGAGATGTCCTGCTCCAGTGCTCACCACGCAGAGGGCTTTGCGGGTAGCAGCAGAGTTTGCCATAGACACAGGGCAGCCCGCAGGGAGAGAGGCCACTGGTGGAGTAACAGGACGCGCCCCCACGCCCACCACTCGGCCCTGGCCTTGTCCTGCAGCCCTCACCCCACCCTCCACAAGTTGCCCTGGAGCACAGGGGAAGACATGGGATTTTAATAAGCTAGAGATCAAAGTCGGACTGGAATGACTCTCGGCACCTGAGGGGGACGCGCAGTCGTGGAAGGCTGGGAAAGGGAGGGTCCACCAAGCCTCCGGGAACTGGGCCCAGAGACCATCGGCCACCCAAGCTCCAGCTGCGCCCAGGAGGCCTGCTCCACCGGCACGGCCCACCCTGCCTGGCCGGCAGGGCTAACGGGTCTTGGGAAATCTGGCTCTCCCACGATGTAGCACATGAGGAAACCAAGCCTCAGAAAGGGCCAGGAACTCACCCCTAAACGCAAGCAACTGGGTCCAGGTCCTGGAGTCTGGTGTCCTCCTGCCGACACAAGGGCTGCAAGGACAAGCAAAGCACAGGGCCGGCGAGGGCGAGGCAGGACGGTGTCACACACAGCTGGACTTGTCAGGACTGTCCTCTCTAAGTGGTGAGCACAGCACGGCGGCCTGGCAGAAGCGGCTGCCAGCTGCAGGCGAGACGTGGGAGGGCCTGCTTGGTTTGCAACGCATTTTCTGGATTTGGCAGCCTCCGCGGCCGCAGGCGTGCAAGGTGCACACAGCAGGTGCTCGGGGTCAAACGTGGAGGTGAGGAAGCCGCCCCTTCCTCAGGAGGGATAGGGAGGCCCAGAGGTGCAGGGGCACTTGGGGGGAAGGGAAAATGTGCGCAAGAAAGACCACACTTTTGTCGGCAGGCTGTGTTCTGCTGGAAGGAACAGAAACCCCGCCGAGCAGTGGCCCACCCGGTGGCGGTTTATCCCGCTCGAGGAGCAGTCTGGGCGTGCAGGTTAGAGGACTCCGGCTGGATTCAACTCTTCCTCCCCCATCCCGTGTCCCCGCTGCCTCCAAACAGGCATCGCCTTTCCAGGCAGGCAGGCGGGGGAGGCCAAGGGGGATGAGCAGCAAGTGTCTCAAACTTCCCCGGAAGCCCCACCCCAAAACTTCTGCTCACACCTCACTGCGCAGACCGGCAGCTCAGTGCGCCAGTCAGCCGGGGCTGCCGGAACGCAGCGCCCCAGACCGGCGGCTCAGACAACAGACACTACTTCTTCCAGTGTGAGGCCGCAAGTCCGAGATCAAGGAGTGGGCAGGCTGGGCCCTCCTGAGTTCTCTCTCCTTGGCTCTTAGTCGTTGTCTCCTCTGTGTCCTGGCCTGGTGATCCCTTCGTGCATGTCTGTGTCCTAATCTCCCTTCTTGTAAGACACCAGTTGTACCGGACCAGGCCCACCCTCACGACCGTTCCCCTTAAGCACCTCTGCCAAGGGCCGTCTCCAAACACGGACCACCCTGAGGTCCTGGGGTTGGGACTCAGCATACGGATTTTGGGCGAGACACAGTTCAGCCGCAGCACTGGCCATCCCCAGCTGGGCGAGGGACGGGGCCAGGCCTTTCAGCCTTCCCTACAAACCCAGCCAGCCCTGGAGCTGGCAGCCTGTGCGTGGGAGTGCGGGGGCCTGTCCCCAGGGTCTGCGACCCCTCGCTCCCAAGACTACTGACTTGTCTAGGCTAAGATTTCTGCTGCAGTGCGGTGACGAGTTTTGGCTGGCACACAGAGTCCACCTGCCACCGTGGAACGCTTATGCAAAGGTAAGGAGCTTTGAAATAAATCCCAGTCGGCTTCACGGGGGGCCTGAGCCTGCCAGTTTCTGAGCCCCCCTGGTGTTCATGGAGCACCGCCCACGGGCCAGGCGCAGCGCCAGGCACTAGGAGCACAGAGGAGGCAGGTCAGAGGGAGAGGCTTGGGTGCTGCGGGGGCAGGATGGTGAGGCCTGTCCACCACAGGGTGTGGGGAAGACAGAGGGAGTAGCTCCTGCCATGGCCTGAGGTTGTGAAATAGTTAGCAGAGGGGCTGTGGGCCTGAGGCCAGTGGGAGCCTTCGAAGACTCTATTGGGAGAGAGGAGCTCAGGTTTGTGTTTAACAAGAGCCCTCTGGCCACATCGTGGGAAGATGAATTGAACCCAGGGAGATGGAAGGAAGGTGGGGGGGAGGTGGGGGCTGCAGTCTGAGTGCCAGAGCCAGGATGGAGGAGCCAACCATCAGAACTAGACTGAGATGGGAGGCAGGGAGGTAGACTCCACACAGCTGGTGTAAGGGAATGGTCATCACTGCTTGACTAACTTCAAAAAGTTGCTTAAGAGGACCAAGTGTCGGTTACTGAGAAATGGTGCTCCCTGCCTTGTCCTGCCGTGCCCTCGGTCTGCCTCCCAGGGCTCCCTGGGGTGGATGGCACCTGCCTGCCCACACTGGGTCTTCGGGGCTGGGGAGGAGGGTGAGGCCCAAGTCCCCCTGCTCTGACCACCCCTCTCAGCCTGGGACCCGACCCGGCCTTTCCCTGCCAGGCTGCTCCCCGGGCTGAGTCTGTGCCTGCCCACCGGCCCCTGCCTGTCACCTGAGGGCCCCACCTGTGACCTGCTGAGCCTGTCTCTCTGCAGTACGGAGGTGGGGCTCACCAGATCACAGTCTCTGCAGACAGCTGGTGCTCAGCAAGACTCTCCTCCGCAGCCCAGCTCCAGACCCAGAGCAGGATGGCAGCTGAAGTGGTTAATGGGCTGCCTGGTGGAGGCAGCGGAATTTGCCAGAGTGTGTTGTCAGAGTTGGCCAGGATGCTCACGCGGAGGCCTGGGCTTTCTCAGAGGCTGGGCCCACTGCCTCCCACAGACCTCCCGAGATAAGGCCATGACCTGGCAGGAAAGTCTGCCCACCTGGGGTGGATCAGCCACCGTGGCTAGGCAGCAGGCCACCACTTGCCGAGGCTGCAGGCTGGACAACCAAGACACCCATCTCCCTGGAGCCCCAGGGACCACTGTGAGTCTAGAAATCGAGGAATGCTGTCGGTGTCCTTCCAGGTGGTATGTTTTGGGAGGTCAGTGGCCCAGAGGTATCAGGGAGGTCCCTGGGCAGCAGGTAGATCCAGCTACCCACTGAGGGTCAGCCATTTATTTGTCTTTGCAGGCTATTACAGAGACCACCTGGGCTGGAGGACAAGAGCTGCTGAGCACAGCTGTGCAGGCTGGGCACTGTACAATCTAGGGGAGTCGTGTACATAAGTAACTTTCCCTGGCATCTTGGTTCAAATACAGCAGCTTTGCTAGATTTGGAAAATAGCAAGCGACTTTGGTGGTGATGGGGAGGTGGGGGAGGGGCTTGGGAGGTGGGGGAGGGCCTGGGGAGATGGGGGCTGGGCTGGGGAGGAGCTGGGGAGGGGCAGGGGAGGAGCTGGGGAGGGGCAGGGGAGGAGCTGGGGAGGGGCAGGGGAGGTGGGAGGCGGAAGGTCTGTGCTGGCACAGGTGGGCTGCCACAGCCCTCCAGGCCTTTGGAGTTTGTCCTCTCAGAGCTTCAAGGTCATGTCAGGAAAGCCCCGTACCTGGTGGAGCTGGGGTTTGTTGAAACTGCCCTGGTCTTGGAGGCGGCAGGGGCCGAAGTCACTCCCCGGTGGCCTGGTTGGGCATCTTCTCCAGCCTGGCTTCAGCACACACGGACCAGACGCCTATGCTGCCAGCGGCTGGGCAGGAAGCCACGCCTGCCTCCTGGCTGTCCCCACAAAGGGCTCTTGTCCCCTATGCTGGGCAAGCGTCACAGCCTCTGGCAGGCCTGAGGTGGGACACCCTGGGTGGGGTTGCGGGCATCGTACCCAGAGCTGTGTTGTTCTCCTCATCATTGCAGCCCCAGATAGGGAAACTGAGGCGGGGCTAGAGATGTGGCTCCACCCACCCTCTGTCCACCCTTTCGCTCCCCACTCACCTCCGCTGAGCACCTTGGGGCGGGTGCTGTGAGGGGCAGCAAGGAGACACCCTGTCCCTCACAAGGGGACAGAGGGGAGGCAGTCCTGTCACACACGGCCCCTGGCCAGCACCGCAGACGGGGCTAACCAGGTGGAGAAGCCGGCGCCGGAGCTGGACGGGAGGAGGGCGGTCAGCGTCCAGGGCAGAGCAACAGCACAAGCCCAGGGTGGACACAGGAGAGCCCATGTGTCACATGGGAGGGTGTGGCCCACTGGTGGGGTGATGGGGCCACAGTGGCCAAGATGGGCCTCCTTCTCTCCGCACCATCTGACCACAGCATGCCTTTACTGACTCCTCAGTCCGCTTCTCCACGCATCCGCCCGCCCCTCAGTGCTCGCTGAGCACTTTCTCTGTGTGGCCCTTGCTGGGATGACTCAGCCCTGCGCCCTGACCCCTGCGAGCTTGCAGACCGGTGGGGAGACTGACCACAAAGCAGCCGGAGCCGACCAGAGGAGGGGCCTGTCTCGGCCAACGCAGCAAAGGAGGCCTGGCAGTTCCTGTGGCAAAGGCACCACAGCTGGGCAAGGGCAGTGACCGGCTACTGTGGCCCTGGTGCCAGGTGGGCAGCAAACCTTGCCGCCAACCCCACGTCCACATCCACGCGGAGGCTGCCGGCCGGGGAAGGAGGGAGGGGCCAGGAAGGGCGTGGAGGGCCCCGCAGCTCTCCTGGGGTTGGGAAGGCCCAGATGGCTGGTGTGAGGGGACACTCCCACAGGGACAAGGACCACGTGATAGGCCTCCCACTCAAGCCAGGCCTCTGTGCAGGCCCAGTTCTCACAGAGAAGGGCCCGCCGGCAGCCACCTGAAGCTCATCCTATGGCGCCTGGGATCCTGGAAAGACTCGCGTTGAGGAGGGAGAACTGGGCGGCGGGAGCGGAGCCGGCCTTGGGCACACGAGCAGGTGCTCCGAGCTGCACAGCGTGGGACCCTGCGTTCTCCATCTCCACATCTTTGTAAGTGCCATGGATGTCCCTCTGTCCCCAGCGCCACTGACCACCCCCTTGTCTCCCCAGAATTCAGGCCCAGTGAATGGCCTGGTCCTGAGACCCTTGTGCATCAGAACTGCCCCAGGCTGCAGGGAGGCTGCAGATTCCTGGGCCCTGGACTGTTAGCGACTTTCACATGTTGCCTTAGTCCTTTCTGTGCTGCTGTAAAGGAATACCTGAGGTGGGTCGTTCTTACAGAAAAGGGCTTTCCGGGCTCCCCGTCCTGCAGGCTGCTCAGGAAGCCTGGAGTCGCATCAGGGACAGCTGCTTCTGCTCGTGGAGGACAGAGAAGGGAGTGGGGTGTGCAGAGACCAGGCAAGTGGCGGGGGTTGGGGGAGAGAGAGTGCCCCCCCACAGGGGACTGATCTATTCATGAGGGATCCACCCCCATGACCCAGGCACCTCCCACTGGGCCCCAGCTCCAGCACTGGGGATCAAATCTCAACATGCGATTTGGAGAAGACATATCAAAGCTACAGCACATGCGGCATCTCAGTCTACGCTTACAACTCTGAAAGGCAAGTGGTTTTATAAAGGAGGAAACAAATCAAGAAAGGTTAAGAAATGTGCCTAGGGTCTCACAGCAAGTGTCCAACTTAGGATTCAAACCTGGGCAGAACTCAAGCCTGTCCCCATCATACAACTTCCATTTGACCAGAGTCTTCAAGGATTACTACATAGGAAAATGTTCCTAAAAATATTTTGTTTTTAGAAAACTTGCTCTGTAGCAAAAAAAGTTTCATGAGATGCCAAGAATTTTTGCAAACTGAAATAACGCACCTTAGAAGGCACCCCCAGGGAGGACGTTCTCGGGTTCTATTTTCACATCCCAAGCCTTCAGTCCTTGTAAGACTATCTGCGTGTTTTCTCTTGCAAAGCAAGCAGGTCAGCACAACGTGAGTTTGAGGGAATCTGAGTGGGGCTGGTGAACAAAGTTCACTCCAAGCTCAGTGCTCGGGCTGAGGACGGAGCTGCCCAGAGAGCGTGTCTCCAAGCAAGTGTGGGACAGTCTTTTTTTTTTGTTTTGTTTTGTGTTTTTTGAGACAGAGTCTAACTTTGTTGCCCAGGCTAGAGTGAGTGCTGGCATCAGCCTAGCCACAGCAACCTCAAACTCCTGGGCTCAAGCATCCTGCTGCCTCCAGTCTCCCGAGTGCTGGGGACTACAGCATGCGCCACCATGCCCGGCTAATTTTTTCCTATATATATTAGTTGGCCAATAATTTCTTTCTAGCTTATAGTAGAGAACGGTGCTCACTCTTGCTCAGGCTGTGTTCGAACTCCTGGACCTTGAGCAATCCAACCCGCCTCGGCCTCCCAGAGTGCTAGGATTTACAGGCGTGAGCCACCGCGCCCGGCCTGGGACAGTCTCTACACAAGTCCACCTCGGCACTTCTCTTCCCTCCACAGTGTGGGCTCGCGCTGCCCACTGCAGATTGGGAACAGCTTCCTCTGAGATTCTCAAAGCAAACAGGGTCACCTTCCGGGCGGCTGCTGGGCTGTCTGGGTGCTGCTCCCGCCGTCGAGCTCGTCCAGTCCTCCGCACTGTGAGGACGGCGGGGGCACCCCTGAGGCTCCGGGCAACTCTGGATTCTCCGCGCCAGGGCGGTGTCAGATGAAGCCAGGAGCCCGAAAGGGAAATGTTGTAAGTTGCGGGCTGGCCTGGTGCCGAAGTGAACCCGAGACTGCCCTGCAGCGCGCAAACCAGACCAGGGGTGGCGCCCGGCAGAGCGAATTGAAAAAGCTCGGACCACCAGAGATCCCGCCCGCCCGCTAGGCGCGGGGTGCGCCGCACGCGCCGAATTTAACCGCTCGCCCGCGCGCCCCCGCCCCCCCCCGCCGCTGGGAGCTTGTCTCTCACGCGAGCGGTGCGCACGCGCGCGACTCTCCCCGGCGCTCCGCGCAGGCTCTCGCAAAGATCACCAGAGATGTCTGGCCACTGTTATAGCCACCAGCACACACTTGCCTCTGCCACCCAGTGAGATCTCTCGCCAGGTCCCCTGCCCAGTCTGTCTTTCCAGGCCACCCTGGTGTGAGCAGCTGGTGGCATTTCCTGATGCAGGGCCAGGCAGCAGTGCTCACGGTGTGGAAGACTGTTCCCAGGGCCAGCAGGTGTCATCAGGAAAGATAAAGGCAAAACCATCACTATTTGTTTACGATATAGAAGCAAAACCAAGGAGAATCAATAGAAGACTATAATAATTAAATAAGATTTTAATAAGGCAACCAAAATAAACATACAAAAATCAGACAGCTTTTTATTAAAAACAATTTGAAGAATAGTCTTAGATGGAAAGAGGACTCGCTATAAAGATACAAATTCTCCTGGTGCCGGGGTGGGGCATGTGAGGCGGAAGCGCACTGAGAAAGCCAGAGTGGCAGCAGGCACTCCAACTCCTCCGGCTGGGGACCTGGGTGGGGGGCTGGCCTTGGGGGCCCCTGGGCCTCTGAGGCCTCCCTGAGGAACGAGCCCTCCCTCTGGCGTGTAATCTGAGTTTGCACTCACAGCCAACCCACCTCCACTGGCAAGGGTCTGGAATACCTTCTTTTGTTCCATTTTTGTTGAAAGCAGGAAGAGTGGAGTATAATGCACAAATCACTGAAAACCATGAAGAGTTTCCTTCCACCCAGGGAAGCTTCCAAACCAGAGGGAGGTGAAAGGTGGGGCTGCTCTGGTTACGACCACAGTGGACACCAGCAATGTCCGATGCCCAGCCCCTCCTCCAGGGCGGGCCCCTGGGCCAGTTCAGCCATCCTCTGGCCACCTGCCCACGGCAGTGGCTCAGCCTCTCGGGGCCAGTTTCCTCCTCTGAGAAGCAGCTGGCAGCATGCCCACCGCACAGCTGCCCAATCAGACGATGAACTGGAAGCGCCAAGGTGCTCACTGAAGTGGGCCCGAGCCACCCCGCAGGTGCCCAGGGCCCTGAAGGAAGGAGGGTCTGCACCTTTTGTAGCCAGGAAAACAGGCTTGGGAAGTCAAAAGGCTGCCAGCGCCGGAAGCTCGGTCTTTAGAAACAGATTCTCGACCATGTCCTTTGGACACTCCGAAGTTCTCTGGGCTGTTTGGAAACATAAAGAACTGGCCCTCGTTGGTTCAGCACCACCCCAGGAGAGCTTGTGTCATGTCTTTGCTGGCCCATGGTGACACAGGGTGGTCACAGTCACAGAGTGGACAAGGTGACAGGGTGCCCACACCACAGAGGTCGGAGGACACTGGTGACCAGCGCCCCTGCTGCTGACACAGGCCCCGAGAGCTGGGCTGACTCGAGCTCGGGCAGTGCTGACGCGGAACCCACGAGTGGGAACGCCCGGCCGAGCCCGTCGTCCGAGGGGGAGGCAGCAGTGACCGGGGGAGGGGTGTGCTGACCCCCGCAGTCTGTGGCTGGCACTGTGGGGACAGGCCACAGCAGAGAAACGGTTTGCTGGGCACACAGCACTGAGCTCTTCACCTACTTTGGCAACAAAACGATGAAATGCATCACGTGTAAAGTAATTTGTGTACAATTGGGAGGTTGGAGACTGAATTGTCCAGACATTCAAATCATTACTCATTTTTTCTTTGGAAACATTTCCTCGATGGAAACTTTCAGTTCCACAAAAAAAGTATTAAAATAGATTTTCCCCCCTTAAAAATCTTAAACTATGGCATTTGGTCTTTGTGCAAATAGGTTATAATTTGATTACATGATAAAGTGAAAGTGGAGCCTACAGAGAATCGTTCCCAGCTCCTCAGCGAAGCGGAGCTCTGCAGAGTCGTCAGAGCAGAAAACCCCCAATTATGAGCAGTCTGCTATGTCTCGGGCAGCTGCATCTGAAGATCGAGCATGCAGAATTCTAGTTATCACAAGTCCTGCAGTTCATCAGGAAGATGTGACCATCCAAGTTGCTCCCTAAGTGCTCCCCGAAGCCAAAGGATCCCAGGTCAGCCCTCCGGAGACCACCTCTGGTCACCTCTGCAGGGAGGAGCCAGGCAGTGGACAAAGCATAGAGGCGCATGTGCAGGAAGCAGCGGAAATTTCTGGTGTCTTCTGGAACTTGAGTTTGACGCCCATGAATTAATTAGTTCAATTAGCTTAATTAGATTTAGCTGAATGTGTGCTGTTGCGACTACAGCTTTGGTTTCAAGCTTCCTAAGACGGGTTTGTTGTGGGAGAACTCGGCCCACCAGGACCCCCGCTCCAGCACGCTGCTCTCTTGGAGGACTGCGCCCCAGAGGTTCTTGTAGAGCTGCGGAGAGACAGACGCCGTAAGCGGAGGGCAGACACGGCAAAGGACTCCTCTGATGGCCCAGTGTGCAAACGCGACTCCCCCCCAAAGTTTTGGTTAAAAACACAGGAAATTCTCTACTGTTGCTCTTTAGAAAAATCTTAAGATGATTTAATTTATATAAACTTTTTAAAATTAGAAAACTCAATTATATAAAGTACTGTAAGTCACATTTTTTTTTTTTTTTGAAACACAGTCTCACTTTGTTGCCTGGGCTAGAGTGCTGTGGCGTCAGCCTAGCTCACAGCAACCTCAAACTCCTGGGCTTAAGCAATCCTCCTGCCTCAGCCTCGCAAGTAGCTGGGACTACAGGCATGAGCCAACATGCCCGGCTAATTTTTCCTATATATGTTTTTAGCTGGCCAATTAATTTTCTTTTACTTTTAGTAGAGACAGGGTCTTGCTCTTGCTCAGGCTGGTTTCGAACTCCTGACCTTGAGCGATCCTCCCATCTCAGCCTCCCAGAGTGCTAGGATTACAGGCGTGAGCCACCGCGCCCGGCCCCGTAAGTCACATTTATGATGCAAGTCAGTCTTCGCCCTTGCCTTTGGAAATGAACTACAGAGGGTGGACACTGTGGCCACCATAGGATTGTGCACATCCACACTGTCCTGAAATCTGTCCCCTCACACTGGCACCAGCGGGATGTGGCCGAGCAGCAGTGGGACCATGCATAAGCTGGCCTTGCTGTGTGGCCCCCGGGTCCTGGGCCACTGCGCCTGACACACGCCACCCTCTTGTCCTGCCCAGACACCAGCCCACCAACACTCCTCTCCGGACTCCAGACTCCAGGGGAGAGCTCTTATCTCAGAGTGAGGTCGTGAGAGTGGAACGAAGCTGACAACTGACAATCTGCCCACTCTAGACCTGTGGGTCAGAGCTTGGGCTGAGTGGCGGCCGAGCAGATGACCCAGTCCATGGGCTCGAGGAACGGTCTATTTTACATCTGGCTGATGTCGACCAATTTTACTTTTAGGAAACTGCTCTGCCTGCACCTGCTAAATGCACTCCCGACTCCTCCAACGCTGTGCTAGCCTAGGCTACCGCAGACACACTCGGGCCGCTCCTCTGCGGCTCATAAATTCCAGGTGACATTTCAGAATTGGGTGCTCTGGGCTTCATTTAATGATTGTCTCAAATAATCTCCCACAGCTGTGTTTGCTCATTTAAAGTGAATTTCTTGCCTGGTAGCACCTGGTTGAAACATCAGCTCCTTAAAACTGGGAGAGACGCACGTTTTATAAACCATCCTGCCAGGGGATGCTTCCAGTCAGCTCCGGTTTCAACTATGACTAGAACCCCAGAGTCAGAGGGGCCCCCTCTCTGTCATGGGGACGGGCTCCCCTTTCCTCTCGGCCACTCCCCTGCCTCTGCAGAGCAGGGCGCAGTGCTTGGGTGCTCTAGCCTCTCGGGACTCCTTCTGTGCGGGACAGACCCGGGTGCTGGAGGGTCCTCCGAGGCAGACCTGCGCCTCCTTCTCGAATGCCCACCCACCTGTGCGCCCTGTGAACAACCCACTGGGCTTCTCCACGTCTTGGTTTCCCAGCATGAAAGTAGACATGATTGCTATGTGGTCAGCATGTGGGACCTAGGAGGGTGTCCAGTGGCCAGCACCCCTGCTGCAGGACAGCAGGCTGTCCCTAGACACGGCTGTGCCACCATTCCTCCTCCAAGAATTCTCACCTCCCATCCTGCCCGCTGGCCCCTCGTCTTATGGCATACCTGCCCCAACCCAGGTGAGGCCAGTGCCATGCTGAGGCCAGCACCTGCCCCTCCCTAGATAGTCTACACGGCCTCTTGAAGTGGAGATCTCAGCAGCCCACGAGGGCAGATGGAGGCTCCAGTCTATCCATGTTCAGTCTCCACCTCACAGAGCCCCGGGTTCCATAGACACCTTAGCAGAAGGAACATGGTCTTGGGGAGCTGGGGTGGGGTAAACCTGTTCCAGGGCTCACAACCGTGGGACCTCAGGCAGGTAACCTGAACCCTGCAACACCACATCCCCGCAGCAGAAGAGGGGCCACAGCCACGCGGGTGCAGAGGTGCTGGGAGGCACCGAGGGAACCTGGGAGCAGCACCGCGCAGGCATTGCCACTCGGGGAGGGAGACTCGCAGGCTCAGGGATGAGTGCCATGGGGTTACAGAGCAGGGCTGGGACACATGTCTGGGGTAACACCCGAGCTGGAGGCCGGAGGAGGCCTCTCGGAGGAGGTAGTATTGGGCTCAAGCCCAGTGAACGGGAGCAGCAGGCACCAGCCCTGTGGCCGGAGGGACAAGGGAGGGCTGTGAAGCTGGAGTCAAGGCTGGGGTGGGGGGCACGGTGTAAACGGGCCTGGAGAACACAGAGGCCTCGCAGCTCATCTGGGCAGCGGCCTGACTCCACCTGCTTCCTGAGAAGTCATTATGAACACGGGGGGCTGAGCGCAGGAGGAGACCTCGGGGAGCCCCGTGGAAGCTGCCAGGGAAGCACAGGGGCCGAGGGCAGAGATGGCAGGGGATTCGAGGTGGGGGAGAGAAGACTTGAACTCGAGGTGCCCGCATGGCAGTGGGTAGGGGGTACCCGGGACTGGGGCGGCCACACAGAAGGGGAAGGGGCGGAGGTTGCAGCGCTATCCCTGCACGGGCCTGTGATGACCTTCGACCTTGGCCTGCAAGGGCAGGCGATGCTCCCACCGCGTCGCATCTCAACAGGAAGAGGCAGCAGGGCTGCCAGTCCCCGAAGCCACGGAGGCAGCATGGCCAAGAACCAGGGTGTGATCACCCCAACTTCTGGCCCCTGTCAGCAATCTGGCAGCCCTGCCCGTGGCCCCAGCCCAGTCGAGGGGGCTCCCCTTACCTCTCCGTCGGCTCTGCCAATGGGTGAGTCCAGAACAAAGTCAGGAGGAGCAATCACGTCTACCAGGGCAACTGCATCATCTTTCAGCTGTTGGAAAACAAAGTCCACACACTTGGCAACTGCCAGGAATTTCCATAGTGACCACTGAGTAACAGCCACGGCCCGACGGTTGCCATGCCCCCCAGCCACGGGTAACCTGAGCAGGCACACACAGCTCCATTACTAACATCATCCTTTTACTGGCCGGATTACAGGTCCCCTCGGTGTGCATTTGCATATTTTGACCATGTTGCTATTCACTCAAGACTTCCAATGCTTGTTTTTTCCCAACAAGGTAGGAAATGCTTATAAAAGTGACAACTCTGCAGCTCACTAATTAGCAGCTGTCTTCAGGGGTTGTCTCTCATCCCTGGCTTATCTGGGCAACTGATGTTCCAACACAGGAAAGTACATGCAGAAAATATGTAACAAAGAAAGCATTTATGACACCTGGAAAAGTCATCCTACTACGAAGTCTCTTCCTTCGGCTGCAGTTTTATTACTCTCCCGTTCCATTGTAGAAATTATTCTACAACATGACAAATGAAACTTAGGGGAAGAGACTCCCAATTATTTCCTTGAAATGCAAAAAATTTTTATTAAAATAACTTATTAAATGCCACGTCCACACTGCATAGAACACTGGAACGGGGACCACCTTAATGACACAGAAGAAAGACGATCGGCCAGCACGGGTAACAAAACCGTCACAACACCAGGGAGTGTGCCTTTCTGACCCAGGCATGGCGCGCGCCCTCTGCACGGCAAAGGCCAGGCCACCGCTCCGGAGGGGAGGCCCTCGGCAGAGCAGGGCCCGAGACTCCCAGACCAGGGGTCGGCAGGCGCCTTCTGTAAAGCACCAGGTAGCAGATGTTTTCGGTGACCACCATTCACCTCTGCCATAAAGCACCAAGATGCTTGAATATGACGCTCAAGTGGACGGCAGGACCCGGCAGTGTTTGCTGGCCCTGGCCTAGAAGACCGGCAGCTGGCACTACCCCTTGGCTGACACAGGCCTCACTGAGAGAACAAGGACCCGGCTTTGCCAATGCCGGGTGGAGGCGAGGTGTGGACAGGCACACACAAAGCCGCCTGCAATGCCAGCCTGCCTTGGCCACAGCCACAGACTGCCGGAGGGCAGGGGAACAGCTGTGGCTTTTTTTCATAAGCAGCAACTCCGCACCATGGAAGACCCAGGAAAAACCCTCCCTGTCACTGTCTTTCTTTCAGACAAGTGAAAGTCCCCAATCAGACACAGCGATGGGGTGTACGAAATGAATCCTGGGAGAGGCTCAGAGCCAGTCACAAGGACGTTCCCTGGTCCCGGGTCCACTTTGAGAGCAGAGAAAGGGGAGACAAGGGAGCGTGTCCAGTCGCCTGAGGTGCCAACGTGCAGGCAGCACTGATCCAGGTCCTGCCATTGAAGTGGGTGACAACCAACAGCAGCTGCACCGCTCGACGTGGCAGCCATGAGCACAGGTGGCTCTTTACATTAAATTCATTAAAATTAAAGAACACTTGAAATCCTTGATGATACCAGGCATGTTCCAACCACCAGCAGTCCCACGTGGCTGCAGTGACCGTGGACAGAGCAGCCAGTGAAGTCCCCGTAGGCAGCCCCTGGGCGTGAGGCTGGGCCACTGACTTCCTGCACAACCCAGTAAAAGAACAAACAAGGCAATGCCAGGGGACAAATTTAAGTTGGAGCTCGAGTAGCCCAAACGCCCAGTGTAGCTGCAAGAGGCATATGAGGGGGCTGGTGTGTGCAGACCCAGAGATGCCCCTACGAGTTTCTCTTTTGCTATTAATATAATAAAATGTCTGACGTGGGCGTGTTTCTCGCAGTGTCCCCGTTTCACCAATGTCGAATGCATGGCATGTGTGGGAGGCAAAGGCGGTGCATGCTAACACGTGGGCCACTGCATGTAACATGAGTGAACGCAGAATTGGGGAGGGAGACCGGCTTACCTGGGAACACAGGGTCAGGATGGCGCTCTCCACCACTTTACCTGCCTGCGGGCCGGAGAAGTATCCACCTGTAAGCACAAGCCCGGTCACACTTGGGTCTGGCATGCTCAGTCCAAAGCAACAAACCCTGAGGATATTTTCCAAATTCGTCCCACAGGAGGCCTGTTTGTTTGTGGGGCTTTGTGGTGGGGGGCGCTGCCTGGAGCTCACCCCAGCAGGACAGGCCTGGCAGGGCCGGGAGGCTGGGCCAGTTCCTTCGAAGGAGCAAGTGCCAAAGGGGCTCCCAGGCAGAGAGGAGCCTGCGCACACAGGAGGCGCGGGGCCTGGGGTGCCCAGAACCACTGCCCAAGGTGGCAGGGTGGGCTGAGGCTAGGAGGGGCCGTGCATGGCACACGGGGCCATCTGAAGCACCCAGGGGAATGGGCAGGTGCAGCTTTGCTGTGGGGTCTTAGCAGGTCCAGGGAGAGCACACTGATACACTTGAGAATGCAATTATTGTGGAACCTACGTTCATGATGATTTCTGAAGACAACCGTCTGCCGCCTAAGAGTTTATCTCAGACAGCAAGGAAGCTCCTGCTCTGCCCTCAACCCTCTGCCTGGACGCCCTCATGCCTTCCTCAGTTGACATGTGCACTCTCAGGCCTTTGCTCCTCGGGGCAAGAGCTGGTTCTTGGCAGGGAAACGGGATCCTGCCCTTCGCAAGCCCAGGTGCACACAGCACATTAACGGGTACACGGCGTGTCTGTAGTAGTAAAAATTCATGGGCAGGAGAATAGGAAAAAACGTCTAAAAAGGCTCCTTAGGGGGCAATCATCAAAAAAGGTTGAGAAATGCTAGTTTAGCCCATTCCCTCCAGAACTGCAGGAATCAGCCCAGGCACCCCTCCTCCAGGAAGCCTTCCAGAGTTCTGTTTGGGCACTCCTAGGCTCGTGTCTATCTGTGCCCAAGAGCCCGGGGTGTGGCTTCAGCAGAGCCCAGCACACAACCCCACGGGGGCACCTGGGAAGTACTGTCCGAACTGAACAGGATCCTACGTGAAGGGAAAACTGCACGTCAGGAGCGCTGTCCTGCACTTCTTTGCCCTTCACGCTGGACTTACTGTGGGATTTGGGCTCTGTCCTGCCCCCAGCCTCCCTCGGCTGTGAGTAAGTCCACATGGAAGCAACGCCACGCTGGGAAAGCGGAGCTTCCTAGATACGGCAGGCTGCCCAGTCCCCAGGGCGGCAGGGCCTCACCTTGGTAGAGCACGGCCGTGTGCCGGCTCAGGGACCACAGGGCATACAGGGCGCTGAGCCGGCCCAGCACGGGCCGCAGCGAGGGCGGCACGCCCGGCTGGTGCGTGTACTCGTGGAACCTCTGCACCACTGTGAGCTCCATGAACGCCAGCGCCAAGGAGCGGCAGTAGTACACCTAGAAAACAAGACAGAGCCGCAGTGGCCACGGGAAGGCAGCCCCGCCCAGCCACAATTCAGACTTTACGGTGCAAGAAATATAGGGACACACGCTCGGGTCTGTGCTCTGGTGCGTGTCCGAGGAGGACAGTAACATGAAGTGAAGCAGCATATGGACACACATGGCAGGAGAAATGTTTTTCTAAAACACAAGGGAAAAGGCCGTGCAAGGAGACCCCAGGATGGGAGCTGATTCCTGACGTGCTGAGGCCTCAGGCTGCTCCATGGCTGCGCTCAGCTTCGTTCAGTCTAGAACTTGGGGTGGCACCAGCATAGAGTGCGCGGGGCCTGGGGCAAGCTGGGGACACCGCTGCTGCTGGAGTGTGCCAGTGTCCCAGGAGCCCTGTGAGCTCCTCCAGGAACTCGGCCGATGGTGACTTCTCACCGTCCAGGGTGTGGCCACAGGCCTCTCCTCCAAAGCTTCGAAAGCAGCAGTCTCTCTCCCACTCACACGGGAATGGCCACAGAGAGGCCAAGGTGGGACAGGCCCCAGCTACACCTGTGTCCATCACGAGTCCCGGTGCTGTCCGGGTGGGCGGAGCAGGGACTCACTGAAAACCTCTCACTCCCAACTTTTTCTTTTTTAACCATCACTCAAAACAATCGCTGGCAATTATCAGCTTCACTTATTACATTTTCTTTCCTCATCTCTAATTTATCATCTTACCAGATTTTTTTAAATTAGGAAAACAACATATGCATTGCTTATCTTATTAGAATGAACATGCACCACTTTTGAAATGTAAAGACTAATCCAGCAAAGTGAAGAATGGGGTGGAGATGACAAACTGCCGTGAGAGACCCTGGTCAACTGCCTGGCACGTGCCGCTGCCCCCAAACCTTTTGCAACAAAGTGTTGCAACATGTTGCAACAACATGGCAGCACATCAGGAAGGAGGTGCTACACCCCAGCAGGTGACTAGGGAGGAGGCCTAATTTCCAAGGCCTGGCCTGCACTTCCGGAGCCAACACAGAGTCTCTGGCTGCGAGACCCACTGAGACCTCAGGAGAACAGACGGGAGGAAGATGCTTTTTGCCCTCTGCCAGCTGCCAGCCTTACTGGTCCTGGCCAAGACCCCTGCTGGGCCACACACGCTACAGGGCAGGCCATCCACTGGTCCAGGAAGGCTCCTCTGCTTCTTGCTGTCCAAGTAGCGGGAGGGCCAGCTGGGGCCCTGGGTGCAGCTTGGCTCGCCCCTGCTCCTGCAGACGCATGCTGAGCACGTGCCCTTCCTTAGGAGCGGCGTCTAGATTTCCTGGAGCTCTGCTGAGTAGAGGCAGGGCCCTCAGGCCCCTTGAAGAGCCTCTGGCAGGAGGCTGAGAATGCATGCCGTTGGGAGTGCTGCTGCCGGCACTACGCTGCCCGCTGCCCAGGTCGCCCCGCCCTCCCTCAACCAATTCAACGAAACAGGAGTGGGAAACAGCCCGGATCCAGGCAGGCTGGCTCCTGCGTCGTTAGAGCACAGGGATGCTGTCACCCACCAGCACCCTCAGAATGTGCTCCCACACTGTGAACACCTCTCCCCCTACTGCACATGTCCTGTGAACCCAGGATAAGGCCGACCCCGGCGGGGCCCGGGCACAGGCAGGGAGGCCATTCTCAGAACTGGGGCTGACTCTGTGCACCTGCTAGCCTCTCCCGCTTTTCACCCACGTGGACTTCCCAGTAGTAAAGTGATGCTGTTTCATCTTGTTTTTCTGTGACAGTGACACTCTTCAATTTCAGCTGTGGTGTGGGTTGGACAGGCTAGTGGCAGGCCTGGGAAGGCAGCCCACCTGGAACCTCACTGCAGTCAAAAGCCGCACTCTGAGTCCCACTGGGTTCAGGAACACAGACCTGGCAGGGCAGACGGCTTCAGGTCCCCAAGCCTTAGGGTCTTCATCTGCAGAGGGGGAGCCCCCAAAGTTGCTGAGGAGCAAGCGAGATCCCTCTGGTGTTAACCGCCTGCACAGCACTGGGGCAGCACTCGTGGTGGTGGCTCTGTCAGTCCCTGGGATTTGGCATGTGTGGCACGGCTTTGTGTTCTGCGAAATGTCCAGCTACAGCCATCAGTCATCTGAATGGAGTCTGTCACTGCAACCAGCAGATCTGGCTACAACATTAACCAAGGTGGGCTGGGGCCAGCAAGTGTCCCCACGGTGCTGACTTGGGGATGGATGCCTCAGGTACAGTCTCTCCCCATGGCCAAAGCATCCCCAGGTCCTGGTTATGGCTGGTGCACTCAGGCCAGGCGTGCTCATGGCTCCCGAGCCCCACTGCACCCAAAAGCTGTACCACCAACAGGGCAGTAGGCTGGGGCTCTGCTCCAGGGAATCTTCCAGAACTGTCTCCACTGTCCCTACAGAGCCATACTGCATCACTGTCCCCAGTTAGAACCATGACAAGGCACTTCCTGGACCTGGCGGAGCTGAGGGTTGGCTGTCACTTCGCAGCAGTGACCTTGGCACACCACGGACAGGGGCCCCCAGTGCCCGGCCTCCCCCTCCCCCCATAAGTCCTGAGGCGAGGCTCCCCATCATGAGCCTCCCCAGCAAACACCAACCCAGGAGGGGAAGTGGGGTGCGCCACCTGGTATGTGGGAACGCCTCGGGATATCCGTATCTTAACAAGTGATGGATACTTCAGGCAAAAACGAAGCCCAGACTGTCCAAGCCCAGATGCTGGCTGTGCAGCGTAGGGGGCTCCGGGCAGCAGACCCGGGCATTTCTCTCAGCCTCAACAGCCTTAACTAAGACATGAAGTGACATGTGTAAAGGGCCCAGTATATGGCTGGAGGGAGAAAAGACATCCCTGTCTGCCTTCTGATGGGCACATCTCTGGAGGGTCCCCAGGAACCTAACCCTCACGGTCCCGGGGGGGGGAAGGTGAGGCGATGTGGGGGTGGGGACACGCTGCCACGTGCCCTTTTACGTCTCCTGGCTGCTGAACACGTGACGTTGTCATCCAGTTGGAAAGTGAGAGAGATGCATGCTTTAAGAGCCTACTGTGTGCGTCGGGCAGACAGTAAATGGCAGCTTTCATTGGCAGGCACAGTAGACTGATAAAGTTAATAAACACCCCCCGCCAGGTCAAAGAGTGAGCATATTTTTTAATAGAAATGGCCAATAACTGCCCCAAAGGACAGATGTTCACCCATCCACTGAGTGCCATTGTCCTAGCCCGATGGCCTAGACGTGTGGCCCCCACCCGCAGCCCCCAGGCTGCCCCAGCATGGGGGAGCTCCTTCCCGGTGCTCTCTGCTGGTCACATGCTACACGCACTTCCCGGGTCTGCTGTTCATCTTCTGGTTTTGTTTAGAGTGTCTTTTCCTATTCAGAAATGTTGAACTTTTGTGCAGTCAAATCTGACAGTTTTCTTTTCTTTTATGGCTTCAAGGTTTCCTGTCTCCCTCAAGAAGGCTTGGCCCACGAGGAGGTTATGTAAACATCCTCTGCAGTTTTCTTCCCATGCTACACCACAGGGGAGGGACCGTGTCTTCCTCAGGCCCCCTGGCGTCCAGCCCGGCGAGAGCTCTCGGCTGTCGGAAATGTCCCCCTCTGGTCTGGAACACGGAGCCCCCTAGTGGTCACTACCTTCCCTTCCCTGCGCCTCAGGGCTTGTGCTTGTGGGTGACTGGCGGCTCCCCAGCTCTCCCCAGGGACACCGTCTCAGCTGGACGCAGGACCAGGGCCAGCCTGTGCCTCGGGACTGGCTGACGTGCTGTCGCCGAGTTCCTCAGTGAAGGCCCGAAGGTGAATCGTTTCTCAACCACCGAGCCCCACACGCGGGTGTTGTGAGGTCACGCGCCAGGGTCCAGCACGGACTGGGGCCTGGAAGGGTGCCAAGGACCCACAGTGATCTTCCAGGAAGTTTAAGGGAACCAGATGTCGTGAGGAACAGGCCCCTCTGTGCTCGCTGTCTCTTCAGGGCTCTTGACTCACAGCTCGGGGCGGTGTCTCTATGTCCACCTTAGAATGGCGACTTCACCTGCAGCAGAAGCCAACGGGCACCACCGATCTCTCAATGAGCAAACCTGCCGTGCCCAGGCCAAGGCGGGTGCAGAAAGAGGCCATCCCAGAAGGGTCATTTCAAGCCTCCTATTTCCGGTCACTGTGGCCCTCAACCAAAAAGTTCTACTGACCGTGGCCATCTACTGAATTCATTTCTTTTAAGCCATTAAGTCAATGTGGGTTTCCTCGAGCGCAGCAGGAGGCTGTGAAGTCAGGAGCCCCTCTCTCTTCAAGCGATCCTCCCGTCTCAGCCTCCCGAGTAGCTGGGACTATAGGCATGTTCTACCACATTCAGCTAATTTTTTCTATTTTTAATAGCGATGGGGTCTCTTGCTCAGGCTGGTCTAGAACTCCTGGCCTCCAGTGATCCTTCCCCCCTTGGCCTCCAAGAATGTCAAGATTACAGGTATGAGCCACTGCACCTGGTCCCCCTTCTTTATTCTTATCTCCTCACCCAGGTGTGTCCAGCAGCTTCCTAGAGATACTGGCCAGAGGGAGATGCTGCCCCTTGAAGCAGTAGGGGTGGGGTCTGGGGCCTTCGCAGGGGACAGGCAGACTTGGACTGGGGACCGGGTGACTTCAGCACTGAGCATGACACAGCCTCGCTGACCATGCTGAGGAGGAGGAACAGCAGCGTCTCGCAAGCTCCTATGCCTTCCTCGCCCACGGTCACCCTGCGCGACAGCCTCCAATGCAGACACACGAGACAGGAATGGATTCACAGGACAATCAGACTCTGGCCGTAAGGAGGAGTTTCATAACAGGGTGTCTCTGCACTGTGGGGGCCTGGAACGTGAGCGACAGCCCTGTCCAAGTGTGAGAATCAAAGCACTTCCCAAAGCCAACCAAAAGTCACCCCTGGACCATCTCCACTGGCCGCTCGGTGCAGGCGATAATGACTTGAGAACAGCCGAGTGCAGAACACAGCGACCCCTGTGAGTCAGGAGCCTTCTGAGGCCACACAGCGGTATCCCGGGCTCTCCCCACCGAACGCGCCAACTCCAGCAACAGCTCTGGTTATGGGCCGGATGTCATCAGACGCTAAGTGTATCATCCACCACTCCTTCCACGACCCATTCCCATCCCACAGGGGAGCAGAGCAGGTGCAAGGAAGTCAAGGCTGTGCCCACGGCTACAGGATCCCGAGGGCCGGCAGCTGCCAGGATGTCTGACTGCCAGGGACACGACAGCAGAGGAATTAGAAGTAAATAACACAAAAAGCAATTTTTAAAACAAACACATACCTGGCAGTTGTTCCTTGCTTCAAAGTCATTGCTTCCTGATCTTTTCTCTTGATTTAATTTTTGATAACTCTCTCGGAGCAGGTAACAAACCAACCACTTGTACGCTGCCAAGGGGACTTTGAAAAACAAGAAACAGAAGGAAAAAAGTAACAATAGGGCATCTCATGGTTGTCACACATCTGCCCCTGTCCCGGGGCAGATGGCACTGCAAGGTCCAATTTTGCAGACAGGGAAACTGAGGCACAGGTAGGGTAACTGTCCAATGCCCCCCAGCTGGGCCGTGGCCAGGCAGTGGTAGGCATGGCTGAGGGTGTTTCCTGGCTCAGCCACAAGGCTCTCCTGAGTCCCACACTGTCCCAGCAACCCCAGAGGCCACAGGGATGCACAGCCAGCTCGAGGCCAGCACCTCCTGTGCAAGAGCTACACGTTCCGGCTTGTGTGTCACACCTGTCTGTATAAAAGACTGCCCTGTTCCCTTGATGTCACCAGGGATTCGCATGGGCTTCAGGACAACTGCCCGGCAGATGGTGGCCAGGGGACAAGGGGAGAGGGGGCCTCTGTCCACTCTGCCCCCTCAATGGCCAGCTGTGGAGCTGAACACTGACACCTGGTCTCCTGAGAATACACCCCATGCACAATCCCCCGACAAAGCTGTAAAAGGCAGAAGGGAGAGGACACTGGCGTGGCAGGGTGTCAGACCAAAGGGACCCTGGAGCTCCCCTTCTCTCCCCTCCCCCAAGTGGTGGCGCCATGTTTGTGGGCCACCCTCCTCACAGCCTAACTAGCACTGACCTCACAGAGCTGTCCCCGAAGATCCTGCCAGGCAGTGCTGTCACCTCCACTGAAGAGGCAGCACGGGTGGGTGAGTGGGTGGGGTTTATACCAGCCACTTGGCCAAGGCCACGCTTTCACCACCCTCTACTAGGGCACTGAGCCCCTGGACCCGAGCAACCCAGGGCTGCAGGGAGCAGGGAGCTCTCTGCTTGCAGCTGCTCTCAGCTCAGAGCCCCCAGGGAGGGGACGGGGATCTGGCCACACTGGGTCTGGGCCCCAAGGAGGGGCTAAGGGGGTCTCGAGACTTCCTTCCACGTCGCACAGCCCAGTTCCCTGGGGAGAAAACACCCGGCCGCTGCAGGTTCCTGTCGCAGCACCTTCTCCCGCTGCTACACCAGTGACTCCTCACAGCACAACCGAGAAGCCACTGAACACCAAACCAAACTGCTTCACAGACAGCGCGCAGGAGTGATGGGGGATGGAAACCGGTTTCTCTGACCCCACGCGGGGGAAAGCTGCAGGCATCGTCCGCACGGGTGCTCAGGAGCCGGTGCAGGCACTGAATGGTAGTCCCAGGAGAGCCGTCCACCTTGTGGCCTCCAGAACTTGCGAATGGTCCGCAAATGTGGTTATATTAAGGGTACCAAGGTGAGGTCCTCCTGGGCCAGGCTGGGCCCTAAACCCAACGACAAGTGTCTTCATGAGGGACAGAAAAGGAGACATCAGAGGAGGTGGTGGTGACCACGGAGGCAGAGGCAGGAGTGACGCGGCCACAGCCAAGGACGCTGGAGCTGCCAGTAGCTGGAACAGGCAGGAAGGACCCTCCATAGAGGTCTAGGGGCACAGCCCCACCAACACCTTGGTTTTGGATTTCTACTCCTGAACTATCAAAGAATCAATGTCTGTTTTCAACCCCTAGTTTGTGGCACTTTGTTCTGGCCACTGCAGAGCACACAGGCTGCCCGTGTCCATTCCTGCGTCTTAAATGCTGCCCTCAGGACGCTGCTGGCGGCAGAGGCCCTGGTGACCCCCACTGTTGGTGCCTCTGAGTCTCCGCTGCTTCCCAGGCTCTTCCCCACAGGAGGGACGGTCAGGGACAGCAGGGAGAGGTGGACGCTGTAGTCACGTTTTCTTCATGGACAACAAGCGACAACAGCAACAAGACCCAAGGAATGGGCCGGGCCAGAAACTGACCACACCAGCGGCCCATGTCCCACAACACATCCGCACGGCTCAGCGTCCCTCCCAAACACCACCTAGGAGTGTCCCTCTGCAGGGGACGCTGCACTGCTGCTACCTGAACTCTCTAAGCTATTTCCAAACCAAACTTAACCCACAATGCTTAAAGTCAATGACCAGTTTAGATTTTGCTTTGTGCTTCAAATGAGAAATAAGCTTGATAATGAGTTGGGTTTGCACAGCATTTTTTTTTAGAAACTCCACTTTTAGTTCTTAATTTTTTCCTAAAAAATATATCACATTGTTGTGACGTGTTCACATGGAGGGGAGAAGATTCCCCAGCGAGCATGTGGGAGCACACGCAACAGCGGCAGGTGAGTGTGGGGTGTCCCGTGTGTAGAGTTTATTTGAAAGCGAAAGACCAACAATGAAACAAATCATGGGAAAGGGGCACCATCTGGCAGTAAATTCTCTTGCCTGGGACGAGGCTGCTGACGGCCCAAGAACCCACACACACAGCTTCAGCCTTCGTGCTCAGACCCTCCTGGGGTCCCTGTCACAGCGGCCCTTTGCTGAACCCCACCAGAGGGACTCCGAGGCAAAATCTCTCCATCTTCCAAACAGGTGTCGCATTCCTGGAAAAGGCCTGCGTCTCTCCAGTCCTGCAGAGCGTGAGAGCCTTAAGTCACTTACAAAAGGTTTACCAAAGATCAAAATGACGCAGGCTGTGCAGTCAACCCAAGATTTGGGGTTTAGTGACCCAACGCCCTGACACGAAGGGGCCGGCCAAGCCCTGAGCGCCTCTGTGTGTGAAGACTCAGGTCTCTGCCAAACCACTTTCACCCAGTGAATTTCACTTGCATTTTTTCCTCCAGAAAATGTTTTCCTTTTGTTGGATCTTGCAAAAATTAGGGCAGTCATAGGAAAAACAAATTACATCAGTTTGGCATTTCTCCTGATGCTGGTACACAAAATTGCTTTTGCCTTCACAGTTTCAGTGGAAGGGAATGAAGATGAGCAGGGCATGAAGACACACAAAGGTGCCGGTGGATCATTTGTCTACGTTCCGACTTTATAAAGAGTAATGGTTTTAGGAAGAAACTTTTGGTTGGGTAGAACTTATTGCAATGATTAAGTCAGTTTCCAGTTCTTTCTGTGGCAACATTTGGGAAGCTCAGAAAGCAACTTGCAAACATCAGAAATAGATCTTCAAGCATGTCCCTGTTTCCAATTAGCCCTTTATTTATTTATTTTTTGAGACAGGGTCTTGCTTTGTTGCCCAGGCTGGACTAGTGGTACGATCACAGCTCACTGCAGCCTTGAGCTCCTGGGCTCAAGGGGTCCTCCTGCCTCAGCCTTCTGAGTAGCTGGGACTACACGCACCTCCACGCCTGGCTTGTTTTTGCATTTTTTTTTGTAGGGATAGGGTCTTGCTATATTGCCCAGGCTGGTTTTGAACTTCTGGCCTTAATTAACATCTTCCTGCTTTGGCCTCCCAAAGTGCTGGGATTACAGGCATGAGCCACTGATCCCAGCCCCGATTAGCCCTTTAAAAACCTAGATTAAGATCCACAAGGTTAGTTATAGTCAGGGAAGCCATGACCCTGTGTGGTCACCTGCAGACATGTTTCCTGGTTGCTGACGATGTGGACAGAGCAAAGACAGTGGGAAGCCAGCCTGGCCCGGCTTGACTCTTGCTTCAGCCACTGCCCTAATTCTCTGCTCTAGTGTCCTTTCCCATAAATGGCGAACGAGAAAGCAGTCCTGTAGGAGTGAGGACAGACGAGGCACACGCTCAGGGATGACAGCTGCTGCTGTCACATCAGCATTGTTCCCGAGGGCTGGCATGCGCCCTCCACATGCACCTGGTTGGTGGCTCCTTCACCCTGAGGACACAGGGGCTTCCCAGAACCTCCAGGGGTCGCTCACGTTCTGGTCTCCTGAATGCAAGGCCAAGTGCCTCCTCCACCTCCAGGGTTCTGCTAAACGGTGCTCAGGGGAATACATGGCGTCCCGATGGGGCTTCCTGTCTAAACCCTAAGCCGCACATGGCTGTGTGTAATCGTCCGTGTTACTGAGCACTTCTCTGGTGCCAAGTGCCGTGCTAAGTGTTGTGTCCATATTAACTCACTCATCTGTGCAAAACCTTAGGAAGGAGGTACTATTTCCATCCCCAGGCCACGGACGAGGGAACCGAGGCAGAAGGGTGAGGGACTTGCCCAGGCCCGTGGCTGGCAGGAGAAGGGCCTGGATCAAACCCAGGCGGCCTGGCTGGAGCCTGATGCTGCGCCCACACGTGTCCATCCCGCTTGATGGCTGGCTTCCACCCGGCCCTCGGGGACTGGGCATGGGGTCCAAGGTCAGCCTTCATCTTCCACAGAGTCAGGCTCCAGATCCCAGGAAACAGGCGTTGTGGTGCCGAAGTGAAGAATGACTCTAAATATCAACAAATGAGGTGATGATGCTGTCAGACGGCGCTTCCACTGTGGCTCAAAGCTTTTCTTTTTGATGTGGGATTTGGCAGGACAGAGGGAGACCATGCTGGGAGGAAGGCACTTCCTGCAGAGGCCGGTGACACCAGGGTGTCGGGGACCTGGGGCCGCTCTGACCCCGTCCTCACTGCCCATTAGGAAGGCTCCATGGGCTGTAGCGGAAGATCTTGAGCTCTGTAGTCCCAGGGCTCGGGGCCGAATCCTGCCCCGAGTTTAGTCCCCAGACCTGCCTGGCTGGGGCAGCCGAAGCCGAGGGAGTCTTTTGTGGGTGTCCCACAGGACACTCCAAGCCCGGCCCATGGTGTCTCCGTGGAAGGGGGCTCACAGCAGCCCTGGCACCCAGCCATCCACCGGGCCCTCTCCATCTCCGATGCTGTGGTCCTGCTATGGCCACCTCGACCACATCCATCAGTTTCTACAGAGCAGTCAGAGTGACTTTCTCCCAGAGTAACATTTTCAAAACATGAATCATCAAAACAAACAGAAACCCAAGTGAGCGGAGCTGCTCTGCCTGTTGGCACCTGGTAACATCACGGCACCAGAACAGAGCAAGGCCCAACCTCTGCCTCCTCCCGCGACGTCCCACCCTCAGGCGTGCCACGGCCACCGCCTCCTCCCGCAGAGCTCTCAGCTCCGAGGACACAGCCCTGGAGAGGCTGCCCCGGCCAGCCCAGGCCCATGGGGTAGCTGCCAGCCCAGGCTGCCTCCCTGCAGGCTTCTGCTCTCCGACACTGGTGACCTTGGCATGTGGCCCTGTCCCATCTCGACTGCAGAGTCACAAGAGCAGGAGCTGCATCTCGGGTACCTGCGCACCCCACTCCCGGAAATGCAGATCGAGCCATTAACCAACATATGTAGGATTAACTCGGGAATGGCATGAACACAACTACGCTCCGTAGAAGAAACCAAGCGTCAAGATCGAGTACGGTTTGCAATGGAATATGCTTTGCTTCCTCGTTACCTCCACGGCCCCAGCGTCTCATCCCCTCTGCAGGGACAGACCCTGAGTGGGTGCGGTGGAGCCTGCAGCAGCTCCCGCAGCACACGACGTGGAAGGTTCTCCACGCTGGCTCTGCGCTGGGAACAACCAGGGGGCAAGGCGTGGACGCGACCGAGCCTGTGCCACAGGTTCCAGAGAAGGAGGCATGTGGGGTAAACTGAGGCTGGGAAGGGGTGCACAGAGGGTGGGAAGGGGCGTCTGAAGTTGGGGGCAGGGGTGGGTGAAGGCAGGTGTGGCAGGCAGGAAGGCCCAGGCACTCAGTGCAGTCACTGGGAGGCTGTGGGACAGAGACCAGGCCCCCGAGGGGAAGGGAAGAGAAGGAAGGAGGGAGGTGCGGGGCAGAGCGCGGGTACCTTCATTTCACCTTTGGAGTTAGCGCCTAACTCAGCGTCGGGCACACACAGACACTGAGTTAGGAACGAGCCAGGGAGAAGCTGCACTGTGGAATACATGGACTGCAGACCCCAGTGCTGCCACTGTCCCCGGCTCCCGCTGTAACTGCCAAGGCCCCTCCCCAAGGCACAGCTCATTTCCTGGTGGTTTCCAGGGAAACCCTCTGCCCGCTCGACCAAGGACAGCCCATGTTTACCTGCAGAGTCCAGGCAGTCGGCAAAGCTGGATCCCGTGAACCTCTGGCCAAGGATGTCAGGATAGGCTTCTAGAAAGTCCACCGTCTTCAGAGGGCTCTGGAGGCGAGCTCCACCTAGGACGCACATCCCATGACTTTGGTGAAAGACAGGGGACCCCAAACCACAGAAACCGTCTGGAGGACATACCCAGCGCCCCAGCCAGGGTCTGTGTCTCAACCCCCCCCTCCCCACAGCCCATCACGTTGGAAGTTGCTCAGGCATGACTTTTTTTGCTTCCTGCAAATGCAGGGTACATAGTAACAGAAAGCTAATCTGTGGGGAGGCCAAAGGAATCCCCCCAGGTGAGCTCTGGGTGCCCGGTGTGCAGCGGAGCCTCACCTTGGTCCCGGCGTGCCAGGAGCCCCAGAAGGTAGTTGCTCGTCTGCTGCAGCAGGACGTTGTTGTCGCCCTCATACGTGCAGTTTGGGTCGTTGTCATCTCTGAGGACCCCCAGCCGGTTCACTGCAAGGAGCCCGTGACATGGCCATCATTGCAGGTGCACGTTGCAGAAGCAGCCACCACTGTCTGAATCTCAGAAGCCAGGCCCAGCGTGACCAGAGAGGAGGCTCCAGCAACCCCACCTCTTGTCCCAGCCCAGCCGTCCCCAGCATGGGGGTCACTGAGAGACGGGAACAGTCTCGGGGGGCTGCCCATCTTCCTTCCACAACTGAATGAACCCTTCTTTTTACACAAAAAATTCCAAATATTTAAAGACAACTCTCATTTTTATTTTGTTTCTCCTGCCAGTGAAATAGCCCAATTCCCTCATGTATTTTAAGGCATCGGCTCTGCTGGAAAATGTTCTCTCATGTGAGGCTGGATGGAAGGAGCCCCACAGGGACAGGAGGAGACTAGCCCTTTCCCACTCACCTACGGGCACTGATGGGTCGGGGAGGGTGTGAGACATGCTGCCGGTAGGATGTGCTCAGCCAGAACCTGATCGCTTTCCCCTGATTTGCTGTCAAATCCCGTCTCCCCTGCCCATGCCACGGTTCAGCCACTGAACATGAACAGCAAGAGAGACCTTACAGGAAAAACTTGCAATTGGTATTTTTTTTTTTTTTTTTGAGACAGAGTCTTACTCTGTTGCCCAGGCTAGAGTGAGTGCTGTGGCATCAGCCTAGCTCACAGCAACCTCAAACTCCTGGGCTCAAGGGATACTTCTGCCTCACCCTCCTGAGTCTGCAACTATAGGCATGTGCCACCATGTCCAGCTAGTTTTTTCTATATATATTTTTAATTAGCCCATTAATTTATTTCTATTTTTAGTAGAGATGGGGTCTCACTCAGGATGGTTCTGAACTCCTGACCTTGAGCAATTCGCCTGCCTCAGCCTCCCAGAGTGCTAGGATTACAGGCGTGAGCCACTGCGCCCGGCCTGCAATTGGTATTTTAAACCTAGATAAAGGCATTCTCATTTGTCCCTGTTGACTTTGGTCTTATTGGTCTCAAGCCAGCCTTTGTACATGAAATGAACCTTGATTCAGCTGTTTTTGTTTTCTGCAATACTGCAAGATTCAATTTTCTTATTCTATTTAAAAACAGAACAAAGCTGAACTATTTATAGCATTTCTATGAGTTATAACAACAAATAAAACCTACTAAGAGCATTGCACAGAGGACAAAACATGTAGATGAGTAACTCATGCACAGCCGTGGCTACCCACATGTCGTAGGTGACAAGACACAGAGTGTGGAGGGATCACAGGGGCCACACTGCTGCCCACCCCACGCTGAAGCACACACACGCCAGGACAGCAACGGGGCAAACAAACACTGAGCTGCAAAACTTGGCAAGAACCTAAAATGCTTTTGTAGGTCAGCAGGGTTTTTGCCAATTCTGTTGCTCTTTTGAGTTAGTATGTGGCTTCTCTGAACAACCAGTTTTTAACCAATTATTTAAGATCAGCACAAAGGAAGTTGTGTAGGTTTGCAGATAATGACAGTGATTTTACTAATAACAATAGCAGATAAAAGTCACTGGGCACATACTACATGCTAGATCCTGTGCTAACACCTTCTATGCATTAATTCACTTAATCCTGGAGAGAATCCATGCTATGAGGACACTGTTACTAACCCCATCTTATACACAAGGAAACCGAGGTGCAGTGAGGTCAAGCAGTTCTCCTAGTTACGACACCAGGGAGGCCACGCCAGGACCTGGTCCCAGGCTGGCTGGTCACCCACTATCTTAGCCACACACCAGCTGCCTAAACAACAGTTAATGCCAATAAAACTAACTCTTTTTTCCCTAAATGTAAGAATTGTCTATCGGAATAAAACTTGGTACTAGTTATACCAAGTCATGAACCAAAGAGTTAAAGTCAAATAAGCAGATAACCTGCTCTCCGCTCTGGCTTTAGTGGGCTCATTCACACAGCATCTCCATACTTCCCCGTTATCCCCATTATCCCCTGGTAGAAATACCAGGCATCAGAAAGCAGCAGGCCCTGTCGAGGGCAGGGCTGGCAAACTTGTACTGTAATGGGCCAGGTGGGAAATATTGCAGGCTTTGCAGGCCACATGGTCTATGTTGTGACAATTCAACTCTGCTGCTGCAGTGTAAAAACAGCTGTAGAGAATATGTGAAAGACTGGGCATGCCTGTGTTCCAATAAAACTTTATTTACAAAAACAGGTGGCAGGTTGGATTTGGTCCTTGGGCAGGACGTAGTTTGCCGACCCCTGGTCTAGAGCAAATAGTAGGTTTAGGACAGGAAACTGCCCCCAACCCCACATTTCCAATACCTACTAGCTAGATAGCCGTGTCCTCCACACGCCTCCCGGCATTCCTGAATTCCTTGCTGGGCCGTCCACGAGGCCAGGGGCTTGCCAGCCGATGCCAGAGCGTGGATCTCATGTCCAAATTCTGCCTTTGGGTAAAGGAATCCAACAAGAACAGGTGAGAAGACACTTCCGACAACAAAAGTTATGGGTCAGCTTCAGCACTAGTATCAAAGGGCTGTGTCCCCTCCAGTCCAATCCATGATACACCCACAATTTCAGAAAAGGAAATCCAATTTTAACTGAAAATCCAAGGGTGGCTATGGCAAGGTTCCTGCACGCGCAATGAAAACGGACTCAGCTCTGTCCAGCAGATAAACCTCAGGGACGCCACGTGTGTCCCAAAACAAAGTGCAGAACCGGCATCACCACCAGCTTATACAAAGTTCACAAGTGTAAGAGAACAGCACGCAGCTGGAGGCTGCAATTGTTTGTGGCAAAACTATGAAGAAGGGCCAGGGAGTAAGACCCGACGCTGGAGACGGCACCTCCCTGCGGGGAGAGGGGAGGGCTGGGGTCCGTCAGTTCCCAGAAGGTTAAGGGCACCTGACATCGGCCTTGCGAGGGTGCTCATGTCCTCCTCCCTCCTGCCCAACACATGTTTATAAAGATTCTTTCGCTTCTACTTGACATCTAATAACTAAGACAACTATGAGAAAGAGACACACACCCCTGCTAAACAAAATGATCAATTTTACTAGTGTTATCAGCTTCAAGTAAGGGGCTACTCTTAGGCCCTGCTGTGCTGGGGTTAAACCACGAGTTGCAGAAAGAATAAAGCGTGACCACCCTCTACAGCATTATCAGCAGAACAATGCAAACGTCAGCTGGCAGAAGCTGCAGTGACTCATGCTAGGGAAAAACAGGCCACCTCTTCATTTCTCACGAAAGCTCCCACTTAGGCCCCGCTGGGCTGCTGGGCTGCTCTGCAATGAACCCCGGTGGCCGCCCCTCCCATCCTTGCCTCTGGACTCCTCCGTGTTCATGCTGAACGTTCTACAACATGCTCATTTGACGCCGGCTCTTGCCGACGTGGAACACAGCCCCTGTCTGCAGCATTTCTAACCCATTTCCAAACGCATTTCTTTGATTTACATCTTACTCTCACTCAGGAGGCAGCAGGGGGACTGTGGAAAACCTGCTCGCAAACCATCCACCAAGAAATTAGCAACGGACTCCTCCTCACGCAGTGGCTGATCTCAACGGATCTGCATGCTCGTTGCTGGCACAAATCCTTGGCTGTCAACTTGAATCCAGTCGGCTGATTTAGACCTTTGTGCGGTTGTTTATGGAAGGCTTGGAACCATGAAATCTACTGAGGGGCTGGTAGTGCCGACTTTGCAAAACCATCAAGTTCTCAAAAGGAGAACAACAGCTGAACTCACAGACCGAATCCAGAGTCGTGTCAGCACATCCTTAAAGCAGGGACAGGGACGTGGCCGTGTGCCCAAACTTCGAATCTCAGTGGATGCCCAGAGTTTCAAACCGGGGGATGACTGCAGGGACGCGCCCTCGGCATGTCCATGGACTGGTATTGTTTTCAAATAAAGGCTGAATCTGCGCTGCGCAGCCTCTGTGAAATTCAGACGCCAGTGCTGCTAAGGAAAGGGAATGCCACCTCACCTGCCTGGCACTGCGGTCTCCTCCCAGAAGGCCCCGCTGCAGCTCCGCCAGGTCCAGGAAGAGTGACTTGGAGAAGTAGTGTAAGGCGTAGGCAGCCGCCAGGTAGGGAAGCAAGCGCCATTGCTGGAACGACAGACGCCCACGTGAACACACCACAGCCCCACTGAGGGCTGCTGCCCCGGGGGACTGTGACAGCAGAGGACGGGGAGGGTGTCAGGGCCCCACTCCGTCAGTGCTGAGGCCTCCCCGGTCTTCCTGGAACTCAAGGAAACCTTCACCCTGACGGGCTTCCAATTCGGCCAGCTCACCCATCACTCTGGATGTACAACCTCAAACGCAACTCCCTGCACACCCACCCCTCAGAGCTGCCCCGTCAAAGTCACTTCAGAACTAAGTGTCCATCTCCCTGTAAACCGGAAGGCCACTGTGCTGGGGGCCACCATGCCGCACACAGGCTGGCTGGCAGCAGGCGCTCTGCGGGCTGGTGCAGGACGTAGCCACCATCCCGGCCAGGCAGGAAGACCGAGGGCGGGCAGAGCCACAGCTCCTTGAGGGGCAGGGCCTGTCCTTTTCCCTTCATGCTCCTGGCATAGGCCAGGGCACGTACACTGCCGGATGGCTGGCAGGGAGGGAGGGCATGTGCCCGGAAGGCACCAGGGAAACCGTCTCCACCGTGGTCTGGCACGGCCCAGGTACCACCTGTAAGGCTGGTGGCAGGGCCCCTCCCTTCCCTAGATCAAAAAGAAAAGGCTCAAGAGACCAGACCTGCCAGGGACAAAACTGTCAGGCCCCTCTGAGAGAAACTGCACCCAGAAGTCCACCTGGATAAGAAGGGTTTCCTCTCCTGGATTCCACAAATACCTCCAGCCCCTCCTATTTCTCAACGACCACCCAAGGTCACAATAGAGAATCCCCAGCTCTTCCCACAAGTCCCTAGCCCTGCCCAAAGGGTATAAAAGGCCTCAGCCCCTTCAAACTGCGACTTCTGGGGCCCTCCTCTCTTGGGACCCAGAACCTCGTCCAGGAGTGTATAATAAAGCCACGTGGTTTGGCCCCCCCACTCTTTCTCTCTTTCTGTCTGTCTTTTCTTTTCGCTGTCGCTGAAAAACCTTATACCACCCAGGCTCTGTGCCAGCTGCCCCACGTATCAGCTTCTTTAATCCTTACACCCACCCTGGGAAATTTACAAATGAGGGCAGTAGAGCAGACAGGGTGGGGACCGTGCCCGAGGGCACGCAGCTGGTCGATGGACCTGGGTCTCGAGACGGGCACTGCGGCTCCCAGAGCTCGCTAAGCACTGAGCACCCTCAGCGCCCAGACGCACGTGGCCACACAGGCCAGTGGACGGGCACCGGGTGGGGCGAGAGCTGCACAGGCACGATCCAGGACGCTTGCTAAAGCAGGTTCATAGCCGTCATGAAAGCGATATTGAAAGAAACAACTGCGATTGTAACTCCTGTTATGACTTTTGCGACCTTTTACCTAAATATACCTTTGTTTATGCAAGCCTTGGCTCAAGACCTGGGCCAGATTCACCAACTAACCTTGGCATCTCCAGTTTGGTCCTCAGTCCCCACCTGTAAACTGTGAATGGTAATTCCAACCCACCTGCTGTGGAGACCAAACAGAGCGCGTAGGGAGGGCACTGCAGGGATGTCGGCTGCGACCGTTTACTTCCCCTTTGCGTGTGATCGTGGCTGTGCCTGTCCACAGCGACCCCGTCTGCTGCTCTAACCGCCACACAGCACACAGGGCGGCACACAGGGCGGCACACTCGGCTGCTGCTTCTTAAAAGTTATCTCCCTGGAATAATTTCTTAGGGATGGTTTGACCATGTCAAAGAACATGCCTACGACATGCAATGCCACCACCTGCCCAACCTGTACGTGCAGTAGGTGCACATACCTGCCTCCTAGCCTCACTTCTGTGCATTTTCCTCATTTGGCTACTTCGTGTACACTTCTTTTTGATTAAAGACCATTTACTAGAAGCCCTGCTGCCTGAGATCCGCACTCCTGGTCTTGTTAGTTCCATTAAGACCTTTGACCAACTCCCAGGAACCAAATTGCAACTATCTAAAAAGCAGTGTATTTGCATGCATAATAGAAAGAAAATGAAATGATACTTGGAAACTTGTACCTGCAATTGATACTCTAGTACTGGTATTTCTTCCTCCTGCGTTGGGCCAAACTGCCGCCGAGTGGCTGAGAAACGAAGAGCTATGGACACGGCCAGTTGCAAGTTAGCGACAGCCATGCACATGATGGAGACTCGACCCACGGACAAGCTGCCCAGGGACGCTCCAAAGCGCTGTCTGGCGTCCTGCGAGGGAAAGCAGATGCTGAGCGTGAGCCAGACCTCGTGGCCACCTCACAGAGAGCAGAGGTGAGGGCGCACGCGAGTGTTCCCTCAATGTTAACTTGTGCCCGCCCGCCTAGGCCCTGCCCCCAGGGTACCCCAGGCACAGGATGGTACAGGTCCAGCAGGGTGGACCTGTAAGGCAAGGACAGGTGTCATTAGTGAGCTGTGGATGGGATGGGGGCACCCAGAGGAAGGGCCGCCCCGGGCAGAGAGCAAGTACACACAGGGTGGTGCAGGAGCACTGCCCCGGAGCACTGCAAATCATCCACCTGGAGGTCCCAAGGCCCTGCTTTTACCTTGGTGACAATGAGACATGAGTGACAATGGTGACAATGAGACAGTTCCTCTGTGCTGCCAGAGGGTGGGTCGGGGGGGGGTACTCTTTGGACTGCAACTCCATTTCTGGATTGAGAGTTTGTCAATAAAATGTGTTCCCCTGGCTGGGTGTGGTAGCTGGCGCCTGTAATCCCAGCACTTTGAGAGACCAAGGAGGGAGGACTGTTTGAGGCCAGGAGTTAGAGACCAGCCTGGGCAACACAGTGAGATCCCATCACTACAAAAAATGAAAAACAGCAAAACCTGGTGGTGTGTGTCTATCATCTCAGCTACTCAGGAGGCTGAGGCAGGAGGATCACTTGAGCCCTGGAGTTCAAGGCTGCAATGAGCTACTGCACTCCAGTCTAGGGGACAGAGTGAAACCCTGTCTCTAAAACAAAACAAAATACGTAAAATGCATTCCTTTTACCCCACTCCCCCTTGGATTCCTCTCTGCCCATCAGAGACAGCCATTCTAAGGGGTTTAACGCTGTGGTCCCCAACCCCACCACGCCACAGACCAGTACCAGTCTGTGGCCTGTTAGAAACCGGGCCCCACAGCAGGAGGTGAGTGGCAGCGACTGAGCGAAGCTGCATCTGTATTTACAGCCGCTCCCCATCGCTCTCATTGCTGCCTGAGCTCCGCGCCGGTCAGATCAGCAGCAGCATCAGATTCTCACAGGAGCTCGACCCTGCTGCAAACTGCACGCTCGAGGGATCTAGGCTGTGCGTTCCTCGTGAGAATCTGATGCCTGGTGATCTGAGGGGGAGCCGAGGCGGTGACGCCAGCGCTGGGCAGCGGCTGCAAACACAGACTATCATTAGCAGGGAGGTTTGACTACACCATAAACATAATGCGCTTGGATCATCTGAAACCATCCTTCCCTCCCCACTGGTTGTGGAAAAACTACCTTCCATGAAACAGTCCCTGGTGCCACAAAGGTTGGGGACTGCTGCTTTAATGGAAACCTCTGCTCCCTGTGCTCCTGTGTCAGGGGCGGTTCCTCCGTGTGTCTAGTTCGAACGTCCCCTTCGGTGTCCGTCACACACGGCAGGGTCTTCAACAGCAGCTGTTTCCAGGCCCAGCAGTGGGCTGTGGGCACCTCTAACCCACCACCCTCGCCAGATTCCTCATCACCTCCACACCCATCGCTTCCTGCTTCTCCTGGGTTCCTTCTTTTATCATCTGGGCCTTTCTTCCAAATCCTGTGGCACTGGAGTGGCAACCTGCCAAAGCCGTGTGTGCCTGAGAGTATTTCTCACACTCTCGCATGGGAATGACAGCTGTGTTTAAAAATACATTTTTAAGTTGTTTTCCCTCAATGGTGTCAAATATTATTTCACAGTCTTCTTGCATTCGGTGCTGTGTCTGAGAAAATTGAAGTTAAAGTGATTTTTATTCCATTAAAGTCAGATCTGGAAGATTTCAGAATTTTCTCTTAATATTCTTAAATTTCTCTACCATGTACCTGGTGTAGGGCTTTTCCTTATTTATCCTCTTTGGAACTCCACAGGTCCCTCCAATCAAAGGTCTTCCTTTCTTTAATTTAGAGATATTTATCTCCTTTGTCTCTTCGTCTCAAAGTAACTTTGTCTCTTCTTCATTTTCTTTTTTGTTTTTTGAGACAGAGTCTCGCTTTGTTGCCCAGGCTAGAGTGAGTGCTGTGGCATCAGCCTAGCTCACAGCAACCTCAAACTCCTGAGCTCAAGCGATCCTACTGCCTCAGCCTCCCGAGTAACTGGAACTACAGGCATGCGCCACCATGCCCAGCTAATTTTTTCTATATATATTAGTTGGCCAATTAATTTCTATTTATAGTAGAGACGGGGTCTCGCTCTTGCTCAGGCTGGTTTCAAACTCCTGACCTCGAGCAATCTGCCCGCCTCGCCTCCCAGAGTGCTAGGATTACAGGAGTGAGCCACCGCGCCCGGCCTTCATTTTCTTTAATCCTGCCTGCTGCCGTCTAGAGGACGACTTCCCACCTCTGATTCATTCTCCTGCGTGTGCATCCCACTACTGTGCTCTTTCTCCCAGTTATTTTATTTCTACATGAATTTTTAATTAATGTTATACTAGTATTTCCATGTTTTAAATGACTTCTTGTTCCCTGTTGCTGCCCTTGCTCCACATCTCCTAAGTCTTCGTCACTACCATTTTACATCCTCGCTCTCGGCGGCAGTCAGAGGGTGCATGTGGCCCAGGTGCTCCTTGCAGGGTCCGTGCTTGGGACACTCCTGATTCCCAGGGGTGGCCAGCTAGGACTTGGGCCACCTCTGCCCAGGACCATGCCACAATCTCTCTTCTACTCTCGATGCATGGAGTGGGGGATGGTTCTGGACACCAGAAAACTCTGCCATCCCCTTGGTGGCCGTTCACCAGGAGACCTTTACCCCAGGAGCTCTCAGGCAGCACTGGAAGGGGCCCCTGGAGGTGGGGGGATGCCCCCAGGCAGGTCAGCCAGCGCCGCTGTGAGGCCTAGGCTCACCCCAACACCAGCATGGGGGCTGTGCCAACCCAAGGGTCCCCTTCCTAGTTGGGGCACCAGGACCCAAACCAAGAGAAGTGCCCCACTAGGCTCGCCACGGAGGGTGTCCCCTGGGTGAGGAGGGGGCGTGGTGCCAGGTTGTGGGGAAGGCTCTTGGAAGCAAGCGCTGCACAGACCACCCACCACAAACACCGCACCTGGAAGGGGCTAAGGTAGGTGCCATCAGGGGTGACGTCTCCAGCGCGGTTCAGGAGGTTCTGGCGAGGAATGCGCACCTGGTGGAACATGGCGAACCTGTGGGGAGGAGGCAGGGCTGCTGTGACGTGGGTCCCCAAGGCCGGCTTCGAAGGTGGCGTAACCCCCAAGGACTAAGAAAACCAGGGAGCATGCCAGGGGACAGGGAAGCCCAACAAAATTTCTATCTAAAAAAGTAGGTTAAAAAATAAAAAATAGGGCCGGGCATAGTGGCTCATGCCTGTAATCCTAGCACTCTGAAAGGCCGAGGTGGGTGGATCGTTTGAGCTCAGGAGTTCAAGACCAGCCTGAGCAAGAGTGAGACCCTGTCTTTACTAAAAAAAATAGAAAGAAATTAGCTGGGCAACTAAAAGTACATACATAAAAAAAATTACCCAGGCATGGTGGCGCATGCCTGTAGTCCCAGCAACCGGGAAGGCTGAGGCAGGAGAATCACTTGAGCTCAGGAGTTTAAGCTTGCTGTGAGCTAGGCTGATGCCATGACACTCTAGCTCAGCAACAGAGTGAGACTCTGTCTCAAAAAATTGAAAAAAGAAAAATAAAGCAGTACTCATGGTATACAAATACCACATTTATTAACCCACTCATATATTGATGGGCAAAGGCAATATATGTAACCTAAATGTTTGTGCCCTGTAACATTCTGAAATTAAAAAAAAAAATTTTAAAGCATGTAGTGGGTTCTACACGATGCAGGTTGCCACATGTTGGCGGGCATCCATGCCAAGTCTTCCTTCCCAGGGACCCCAGGGCTGAGCGTGGATGCTCAACAGAAATTCAATGGGAAATGCTATTTTAAAGATTGGAATCTCTGATTCTCACACTTCAGTCTCAAACCAGAACCTGCAATATGATGTGGGTTTAACGCTCTCTTTGTTTTTGAGAAAGGGTCTCACTATGTTGTTGGGGCTGGAGTGCAGCCTCCTGCCTCAGCCTCCCAAGTAGCTGGGACTGCAGGCACCACCACCATGCCCAGCTAAAGGTTTAAGGCTCTCAAGTCAAACGAAAGGACTTAAGAAGTTTGGCAGAAGTGCTCAAACTCAAGCAAATTCATTTCTTTTGAACTGCCAAGAATAGGATTATTATACACATCAAGGACCATGACGTATTAATAATCTATTTTTTTATGGTTGTCAGGTCAAGAAAACCTATTTCACAATAGTCTGGGGAACAATCTATGCAAACTTATGGATATTACATAAACTGTGCAAAAAAAAAACCCAAACAAATGTAAAAATATCAATAGTTCCCATAGCAACTTACTGATTACTGAGATCACTTGCCATACCTCCGGGAATATTCTTTTACTAAACCACAGAAAACACTATGTGCAAAGAACCACCGTTCATGCAGGGACCCACTGCAGGAGAGGGAGGCTCATCGTCCCCCCTGCTGCTCCTCCCTAACCCCAGCACATGGGTCCCCATCAGGGTCACCCCCAACCACACCAGGCTGTCAGCTCTGCTGTGCTGGCAACTCCCTTCCCATCCCTCCCCAGCCCCCACTCAGCCCCCATCTCCTCCTGTCTGATTCTCTGGCTCTTTCTGGATGCCACCGCGTCAGCCTGCCCTCCACCTGGGAGCAGAAACTTCTCCAAGCAGCCACCGGAATAGCCTCACTCCCTGTCAAGCTATTCGATCCCCATGACCTTAGAAATCCAAACCCACAGAACTATGCATGAGGCCCCCCAGCCTGAGCTCAGCCGCTCCTGACGGTGCTGCCTCCTGCAGCCACAGCCTGGTCCTGTCTGCCTATGACTCAAGCGAATCTTGCTAGCCTCGACGCTCCAGAGTGCTAGGATTACAGGTATGAGTCACCATGCCCGGCCTTATTCATCTTTTTATGACGTGATCTAAAGTGCTGGTGCCA